CGGTAACTGGAGTTCTTCGAGATAGTTGTCCCCGTGGGTGCTCCACTTTTAGGTGCCAGAGCCACTGCGCCCACCTGTCTGAGATTCTTGGTAGCAGTGCCTCCCTGGCTGGCCGCGCGCACGAGGCTTAGGCACGAGGTGCATGGAGTATGTAATGCACATGTGCGGCCAGCCAGCTCCTCAGTTCTTCTCTGATCTGGACCCTAAACAGAATCTGAAGCAGAAGGGAGGAGAACCCACGGGGAAAACTCTCTCGAAGAACTCCAGTTACTGCACAGAGGGAGGAGGAGGAGGAGTCGTCGTCTTCTTCTAATAGTGCTCTATCTTTAGGAGTACGTCTAGACTACATGCCTCTGACGACAAGAGGCATGTAGATTAGGTTACCCGGCATAGGAAAGTGAAGCAGCGATTTAAATAATCGCCGCTTCATTTAAATTTAAATGGCTGTTGCGCTGTGCCTATCAGCTGTTTGTTAGCTCAGCGCGGTAGTCTGGATGCTCCGCAGTCGACATCAAAGGCATTTGTCAACCTCCCAGGTAAACCTCATCCCAGGAGGCATACTGTAGGAGATGCTGTGCCTCTTGTAGGAGCACAGTCTCATGAGAGGGGTCCCTGAAGAGGGACGGGGATGGTGGTTGTGGGTGGAGACTAAGGGTACGTCCAGACTACATGCCTCCGTCGACGGAGGCATGTAGATTAGCCAGATAGGCAGAGGGAAATGAAGCCGCGATTAAAATAATCGCGGCTTCATTTAAATTTAAATGAAGCCGCGATTATTTTAATCGCGGCTTCATTTCCCTCTGCCTATCTGGCTAATCTACATGCCTCCGTCGACGGAGGCATGTAGATTAGCCAGATAGGCAGAGGGAAATGAAGCCGCGATTAAAATAATCGCGGCTTCATTTAAATTTAAATGAAGCCGCGATTATTTTAATCGCGGCTTCATTTCCCTCTGCCTATCTGGCTAATCTACATGCCTCCGTCGACGGAGGCATGTAGATTAGCCAGATAGGCAGAGGGAAATGAAGCCGCGATTAAAATAATCGCGGCTTCATTTAAATTTAAATGAAGCCGCGATTATTTTAATCGCGGCTTCATTTCCCTCTGCCTATCTGGCTAATCTACATGCCTCCGTCGACGGAGGCATGTAGTCTGGACGTACCCTTAGGGAATTACGTAACCCGTGTTGATGATCTCGAGAACCCACTTGTCAGTGGTAATGGATCTCCAGACAGGATAGAATGCTGCTAGTCTGGAGCCAAATGTGGTATAAGAGTTGGCTGCTGTCTGAATAGAGCCCACGGGTCCCAATATGGCCAATTTGGCAGCATGAGTGGTGGTACCCACTGCTGTTGATACTGCTGGATCTGCATTGGTTTAGGTGAGGAAGTCTTAGACACTTGAGCTTGAGGTAAGTCTTTCTCCTCAGAGTCACTAAACTCTGCTGACATAGTTGCAGGAGTACCTGAAAAATAATTTTTTGATCTGGCTGGAGTGCCATCAGTGCCAAAGAGCAGGGTTCCTGGCACCAAAGCTACTGACAACTCTGTTGCTGTGGTGAACTGCGGTAAGAAAGGAGGTGGAGCTATCAGCAGCACAACGTTGTGAAGGGCCAGTGCCAGTAACACATAGGGCACCAGGAGCATGCCTAGCCTTTTTCAGGGCTTAGCCGGTATTGGCTGCTCAGCGGGCAGTGCGCATGCAAGCTGCCTCTGCCGGCATGGAATGCGGTGCTGCCGGCACCCATTTTTCTGTTGGTGTCCTAGCTGGTGCCAGAATGATAGCTTGATCCGTTAGCCTCGCTGTCCAGCTCTCTGAGGAGTGTGCCCTTTGCTTGTGCTCCCGGCTTTTATGGGAGCTGTCACTAGAGCTTTTAACTGGTCCACTTGGTAGTATAGAAGTAGCAGTATCAGGCTTTACACTCGTCAGTTTCCTCATCTGGGATGTAAACCCCGAGGAATTGGGGGCCTCTTCCTCACTGAGGGAGATTTTCCCTTGGTGTTTGGGCTTGAAGTTGGAATAGCCTTTTCACCAGCGTCTGTCCCTGGCAGACTATGCCTGAAGGGCTATTTGAAGTAGAGTTCAAGGGAGGTTTCAATGCTTTCTCCATTTTTAAGATGCGGAGCTGAAGCTGTCTGGCTCTCCTTGTGCACTTAGTCAGTTTCCTGCAATGATGATAGTGCTCTATATTATGGTCTTGGCCCAGGCAACAGACATACAGAGAATAGCCGTCTGCTACGGATATGGACAGACCTCAGTCCAATAAGAAAAATAGTTGAAAGGGAGTAAACAAATTAGGCTAATTATATAGAGAGAAATGTGTGAAGGCAACTGTTGAACTGCAATGAGAGCTGATAGCAGTCAGAGAAGAACAGAGGAGCTGGCTGGCCACGCATGCACATTACACACTCCAGGCGCCTTGCGCCTGAGCCTCACGCACACGGCTAGCCGTGGGGCGGGGGGAGGGGAAGGGGGAAAGAAGGGAGAAGTCTGCTACCAAGAATCTCCAATTGATGGGCACAGCAACACTGATGCACCTAAAGGTGGAGCACCCACAGGGACACTCCTTGAAGAAGAACATTTCAGTTTCCATGTTGAAACACAAAACTGATTTATGTAATGAAAGTTCCACATTTTGAACCAAGCTTCTATTGTCTCAACAGGATGTTTAATGCATAAACCTGAGGTTTTTTTTATTATTTATGCTACACTAGCTCCTAAATGACAAATAAAGGATCATTGGTCCATGGGAGTCGATGCCTGTGGGGAACTAGCTTTTTAGCCAGCTCTCGATGTATGCTGGCTTCGTGGAGCTGCCTGCACCCCTCCACCGTGCTTCCTCCCACAAAGGCAGTCGTGGGGGGGGGAAGAGGGAGACAGGTGGGAGCTGGTGCTTGAGGGAGCTAACTTAAAAGCTGGCTCCTCCCCCGAGCACCAGCTCTGCAGAGCCGCCTGTCCACCCTCCACACTGTTGCCTCTGTATCAGATGCAGCAATGTGGGGAGGAAGTTAGGCGGGATGCCAGAGTACCCTCTGTCCCGTCTATGTGGATAGCTAATTTTTTAACTGTTTCCCCTTGCAGACTAGCTCTGCCTGCCACCCCACTCTGCTGCCTATGATACTAAGGCAGCAGCATGGGGTGGCAGGAAGCACACTGGATGGCTGCCTGCCCTGCCATCCCCCTCCCCCCACAGGAGGGAAGAGAGAGAATTTTAGTTAAGCATGTAACTGCTAAAAGTTGTTGCAGCTATAAGATAGTAAAATAACCAATATCTAACATCCGTAGAACAAATGCTTGATAAAGAATCGCCTTTGCTCAAAAGATCATGACATTCATTTTAAGATCTGAAAACAATTGAATATGCTTAACAGGATAACTACCAACGCTTTTAATTAAACCTGAAAAAAATCCAATTTAATCCATGCATGACTCCCTCTGATTGATTGAAGCCTCCATTGACTGTATTTCAGAAGAAAGTCAGAGGTCTTGAACTGTTGACAAAGAACTCTACTGCTGAATTCTAGCTTTACCACTGCTAGCCCTCTTTTGAATTAAAGGTTAAACATTTTATATAATAAACTAAAAAATACAACAGATTATTGTTACCTTTCTCAGTGTGTGACTTATCTCAACCACTACTGCAGCTAGGAGAGTAGAGAGTACACCACGGTGAACTGTTGGACAAGATGAATGCCAGTGCTGGACTGTGTATATAAATTCTCCAAGAGGCGACTGAATAGAATAAATCAACTAAAAATAAATAAAATATAGATCAATTACAGTATTTCTACTTTGGGAGCATTTTAGTGCAATTAAAAGCCTTAGTCAGGAGTTCTCAAACTTCCTGAGACACTATTAAGATGTAATCAATTTCGATGGAAGTACAATACTTGGTTCTGTAGTCCTACAGCAATGGCTTACCTAGGAAAAATATTTAATGTATTTTGGCTATCTTTTGGTGCAATTTAGCAACTCAGAATAAGGAAGAGAGTTGGCATTATGAGAGCAGTTAGGTCTCTGTGAATATATCCTTTAGGGCAGGGGTGGGGAACCTCAGGCTTGGTCAGGGACTCCACCAGCATTGGGGAGTCCATACTGGCATGTCAGCACTCCACTGCCCCACCATGGGGCTGGAGCACACAAAATCTCCTAGACTTGGTCACCACCTTGGTTCTGGTGTGGGAGGGGAATGTAGGGAGTGTCTTTCTCCTTCTCAGTCAGGGGCCACATCAGCGGGGTTTGGTGTTTTTTTTTTTTTTTTTTTGGCTTCTCACCTGTGTGCGGCCCCTGACTGATTTTTCTTTGGGTCAACAGCCCCTGGTCCAAAAACAGTTCCTCACACCTGCTTTGGGCCTAGTCAAAGGGCTGAAAAGCTGAGGTAAAATCCCCCAATGTCACTAAAGGCAATGGCTTGGACCCAAGGCTATGTCTACATTTGAGATGAAAGATATTATTTCAAGCTCCTGTACACATGCCTACACTAGCTTTTTCTCAAGATGCCAGGCTAAAAATAGCATTGTAGCTATGGTAGCATGGACAGCAGCTTAGGCAAGATGCCTGAGTATGCATCCATTCAAACGTCCTGTATATGTACTTGGTGGCTAGGCCAAGTTTCTGACCATGCTATTCTATGTTACTATTTTTAGCATACTAGCTTGAGCACAGCTAATGCAGGTGTGTCTTTGTGAACTGGGAATCCCAGCTCCCAGCTAAAAGGCAGACTTAACTTGAGAGCTAGAGAAAATGTTCTTTCTATTCTGGATTTTCTCCAAGATTTGTTGAAAGGATCCAAGAGTTCCTGGCACTGATCTACTGATATCAGCACTAGGGAGATTACACTATCCAGACCTTGCTACCTACTATATGAGAGATATTTTCTGTCCATATATTTGTTCAAGAACGCCTCCTAAACAGTAAGAGCTAGGACCACCAGATTCCATATATAACTTCCTGTTATCATAACTTACAACACTGTAAGAGTTTGGCTATGCCAGAAAAATGGGATGTGCTTGGAATGGAATTTCTTTTCATTAAACCAGTAGTCTCCAACCTGGCTGGAGAGCACAGGGGGATATACAAAACGAAACCTGCCCCAGCTGGGGGACATGCATCCTTCCCCTAGCTATGCCACCTGAAGATGCAGTGGCCATGAAGAGGCACTGCTCACCTGGCCCCAAGCTTTTGTGGTGAGAGAAGGCTGGTGTAATTCTCTCTCCCTGGGGCAGTCTACATACTGAACCCCACAGCCATACCCTTGAGCAATAATTTAAATGAAGCATGTACATTAAGGTAAGAACTGAAGCAAAATGCTGGGTAATTCTTCTACACATTGGACCTCCCTGGTCTGGCACCCTCAGGACCTGGCCAGTCCCGTCATTTCTGGACTCCTCGCCATGCCTCCTCCCCTCAGACCCTGCTTGGCTGCTGGCCACAGTCTGCCCCTCCCAACCCCACTACCCTGCTGGCCACACTGGGGTGCCCAGCAAGCATGCAAGGCTGCTGGCCCCACTGCCCTGCAGGCTGTAGGTCTCCCAACTTCCAACCCCGCTCCTGGAGAGGCTTCACTGCGGGCTTTCCAGCTGACTCCTCCAGACTGCCAGCCCTGCTCCTGAAATGGGGCATTCAGAACTGGACACAGAACTCCAGTAGAGGCCTAATCAGCACAAAGTAGAGCAGAGGAATTACTTCTCGTGTCTTGCTCACAATGCTCCTGGTAATACATCCCAGAATGAGGTATAGGATTTTTTCGTTGTTGTTTGCAAGTGTATTGCTGTTGATTTATATTAGTTTGTGCTATGCTACAATCCCAGATTCCTTTCCACAGTACTCCTTCCTAGGCATCATTTCCCCATTTTCTGCATGTGCAATTGACTCTTCCTTCCTAACTAGAGTACTTTGCATTTGTCCTTATTGAATTTCATTCTATTTACTTCAGACCATTTCTCCAGTTTGTGCAGATAATTTTGAATTTTAATCCCATCCTCCAAAACTCTTCCTAGGTTGCTATCATCCACAAACTTTATAAGCATACTCTCTATGCCATTATCTACACCACTGATGAAATATTGAACATAACAGGATACAGAACTAATCTCTGAACACTGCACTCATTATGCCTTTCCAACATGACTGAACTATTGATAACCAGTCTCTGGGCATGATTTTCAAACAGTTACACATACCCCTTAGAATAGTTCCAAATAGGTTGTATTTCACTAGCTTGTTTATGAGAAGTTCATGCAAAAGCCTTAAAGTTATGATATATCACATCTACCACTTACTCCCATCTTCAAGGCTTGTTATTCTGTCAAAGAAAGTTATCATGTTGCTTTGATACAATTTGTTCTGACAAATCTATACTGTTATTATCGCTATATCTTTTTATATTTATAAATTGATTGTTTGGGTACAGAATGGCATATCATCAAATCAATTACAGGTTGGACCTCCCTGGTCTGGCATCCTCCAGACCTGACCAGTCCTGGATGAAGGATTTTTCTGAACCAGGGGAAGTCATATCTGGCTCCCCTGCTACTGGCCTTACTGCTGGCCCTGCTGTTCTCCCGCCCCTTCCCTGTGGCGAGCTGAACAGGGACTCTCTAGTCCTGGAACATCCATGGTCCTGCAGAATCACAGATGTTGCCAGACCAGAGTCACAGGTTAGGAGTTCACCTTTATTTATCTGAGAGGACAATAAAGTATTTTTGTGCCAATACATCTAATATGTCCAATTCACATCTGAATAAAAGGAAGTCAGTGCTTAGAATTAACATTACAATCACATGATTTTATGTATGTGTATAACAGGATGACAAATACCTGAAGCCCTTCTTCCCGCCATTTTCTGAGTCTGCGTGCAACACATTCTAAAATTTTTTGGAACACAGCCTGAACAGCATGGAGAAACGTTGCAACTTCTTCATCTGTACCAATGTTTTGAGTCAAAGAAGCTTCAATAATCTCTTTGAGAACACAAAGTAATGTAGGGATACAAAAGCAGCCTCTTTCTAGAGAAAGAAATAATGTATCAGATATTTAAAAAAAATAGAGATTTTTAACTAGACTGTTCAGGGCTTAAATGCTAAGAGAATTTCCTGGTACCTCCTCCACCTTCCATGAGCATTCCAGAGGGGTAGAAAATATTCAGCAGAATTCTACTCCAGATAGCTCCAGCTGAATTTAAGTCCTGCTTTAGCTATAAGCTTAGATTGAAATTCATTTATACTACATAAATAGCTGTAATTTACTAGAGTAGCTTTATTTCATATTAGTTAATTAACATCTATTTTCACATTTCTTATTGATTCAATCACTGTTTTAATTACTGTATCAATTCTCTTAGGTAACAACTTCTATGTTTGGCAACATCATGAAGTTTTGTGTATGGTGCCAGGTGACATTTCTGCACTAGTTTTACGGTAAAAGCTAAATTGTAAAGTCAAGCAGGGATATGGGGTCCAGATACAAAGAAGTCTAATTGTTTTCAAATAAATGTGACTATGGATTTGTTCCTTCTCCCATCCTGTAAAATAGCTCTTTTGCACATTAAGAGCTGTTATTTTGCTTTCATGAAGAATTCAAAATGAATTAATAAAAATAGAATTGAATGAAGGAAACTGTAGTTGAAAGAAAGAAAGTGGGTTTTATAGTTGTTCTCAGGACTTTACAGACTGTATTTTGTTTTCTAAAAGCATTTGTAAACTTCACTCTAAATATTATAAAAAGTTGCATAAAATATTTTAAAACATACAAAGGAAAGATCAAACCAGAGACAGCAGATTAAGTCACCCTTCCTCTATTTTATGAATAGTACACAGGAATTCCTACGTGATTGAAGAAATGTAAGAGACCTGTTAGTTTATCCAGAGTTGTATTAGGAGTATAGCCTGGTCACTTTAGTTAGTCTCATTTTCCTATATTAATTAACCAAGCACAACTTTGCTGCATTTTCAACATAGTAGAGTAATATTTATGTTTATATAGTATGTTACATGATCTGGAAACATTACACATAGCCTGAAAAATGCACTTCTTCACTATTCAGTGGAAATGTTGATATCAAGTATTGGGGCTTAGCTTACAAGATTCTTTGGAAATTAAAATTTCCTTTAGTCCTTATTTTGGTGATAACTACTGAATACTAGATATAACAGTTGTCTCCCTGGAGCCAAGAGTTAGACAACTCTAATAAAAGTTTGAGCCAGCTGTAGCAGCAGTGTAACTAAGTAAAAGATCACTGTTGCTAATAAAAAACCTGTTAACAGCAGAGAAACTCAAGAATCAGATCACAATTATTCATACTACACCTACTAGCGGAAACTACAAACAACAGCAGAAGCATATACTGGAGTTTATTCATGGGAGAAGAAGATCCAAAGCAAAGAAGATCCAAAGCTAATGTAACAGATTTATTTCTCAACTTCTCCTTAAAGCAACTAGGAGACTCCAGGAGAAAAAGTGTAACAAAATAACTGCTCCTTAACTGCAGCAGAGGGGAAGAATAAAATACCACAAAACATTGTTATTACAGTGTACCTGTTTGCATAATTGAAAGAGTGACATCTAAAAGGTGTGCTTGAAACTCTGAATCTCCAAGGCCAACCATTATAGCATCCTTACATACTGTCAGATATGCCTAGACAGGAGAAGCAAAAATCTATTAACATAGACTGCATTTAAGAGCAATATTTTAGTATTAGCTAAAAATAAAAGCAGCAAATCTAAGTGGGAATTTTTTAAACAATTGTATTTTATATTTTTCAGCCTGAAGCCACATCTCACTATGAACTTAGATCAATCTAAGAATATCAAAATAAGAATCCACATCCCTAAGTAATGCAGTTATGCCAATCTAACTCCCTGTACAAAGAGCCAAGTTCATGGAGGGCTTCTGCTGTTAAGACAGCTACTAGCTCTGACGGAGGTGGATTAACTATGCTGAATTAAGCATTTTAAATGTAGACCTGCCCTAAGTAAATACAAAGGAAAAATGTAAAACCCTTCTATTTGTCAGCTTTTTCACTTGGAGAATATCACATCTCAGAAGAGTAGTTCAGAAGAGTAACAAAGTCTCCATATATTTACTAATATTACTTAGGTATTCCCTGATGCTCTCACAAGATAAAGGTGCAATTTTGTGTTATGGAATGGATAAATTTGAGATACAGGCAGTCCCCGAGTTACGCAGATCCGACTTATGTCGAATCTGTACTTACGAACGGGACTTTTCTCGCCCCGAAGGACGCGGGCGGCAGGACCCCCCAGACGCGCCGAGGTCCCGCTGCCCGCGTCCTCTGGGGCAAGAAAAGCTGCTCCTCGTCTCCCTGGTCTGCTGGGGAGGGCTCCCCAGCAGACCAGGGAGACGCGGAGCAAAGCCACGGAGGACGCGGGTGGTGAGACCGCCCAGACACGCTGCTGTCCC